AAAAAGAGAAAAAAGGCTAAAGTTTTAGGAAAAAGCCCTCTTTTTGCTTTTTTTTTTCCCTTTCAGTAGCTGCTCTTATAATTTTTGAAAGACATTCTCTTATACATTGATCTGCATTCCCATGTTCAAAACTCCTTATTGATTGATAATTGATAAAGTATTTGATAAAGCATTTTTAAGCATTAAAAATTATGTAGGTCATAACATGAGGTAGTATTCTTGTGATACAGTTCTATTTCATATTTTATTCAGCAATGAACTCACGTAGACACTACTATAAATATTTTCATTTCATTCATTTTGGTCCTAGAGATGGAAGTCGATATTGTCAAAAGTCACTCAGATTAAAAAATATCTTCTAAAAGTAACTAGTATATGGAAAGAATATGTTTTTTAAGGTGGAAATGTATGTATCCCATTATCTGAAAATTCCAGACCTTAGTTGTAGGTCACCATCAGGGGATGCTATAAGTTTCAGTAAGAACTCTGTACCAATTTCTGCCACACGATGTTGCCAGCTGTCTGGAAGTCACCTAAGTATTGCTACCATAAATGAGTCACAGAGTACCTGTAAGCATGCTAAAGACCACTCTAAATACCATTCTTTTTCAAAGGCAATTTGGGGCTTGTTGTGATTGCTGTTTCATGGATGGCAGTATTTAGAGACTCCTGACAAAGTACACTTCTGACAAACGTATTTTAATTTCTCTGTAGAAAAAAAAAAGAAAAGAAATTCCTATAATTTCTCTTACGTTCTAATATATGTGTGGGTTTGGGGGTGAAGGGCGGTGGGGATTTTTTAATTATTGTTGTTTTCCTATCTGTTTGCAAATACTTCACTTTTTTTGCCTTAATAGCAGGAACAACTCATGTCATTCTTACTTTCTGTTCTGTGTGTATTATACAGACTGTGTCCGAAATAAGGCTTTGTTGTTGTTGTTGTTGTTGTAACATGGAAATATGAGATTAAAAAGTTGGGTTTTAGATTTGGGATTTCAAGGTAATTTTTAAATGCGTAATGCACACATTATATGAATGTATAGAAGACAGTAGAAATTATAAATCCTCACAGGGTAGATAATTTTAATTCTCAATAATTTTTTTTTTTTTAGATTTTCTGCATTCATACGCATACTTACACACATATGCCCTAATATTATATATATTTTTCAAGGCACAGAACTTGAGTTCATCCTGAATGCAGACATTGTGTAACCATCCTCCTTCCTTGGCTTGCTAACAACACTTGTCCTACCACAGGGAACAGGGGTTTCAAGTACCACTTATCCTGATCAGATTTGAATCTCCAGCTTCCACATGCCAAGCTATTTCTTCGGCTGTGTTTCAGTCCTCTTAACAGTGACAGCTACAGCTGAGGGCACAAGATCCGTGTATCTTGGAGGAAAGAAAGAAAACTGACTCCATGTAAAATTTAGGGCACTTCACCTGAAGCAGTTCATAGATTCTTTGCTCTTCTCCTTTAGTTCACTTTATGGATTACCCGGAGGTAGTCTAATTTAAAGGACATAACAGCATCCATTTTTTAAACTGAATGTGAGTCGTCCTGGCTCTCAGCACACTCAGGAAACAGATTTGACTGATGAAGGGTGACATTTTTTTTGATATCAAAATTCAGGTTCTTATGGGTTTGCATGTGGATTTGTTGACCCAGAAAAGAATTTGTTGCTTTCCTGTAATATACAGTTCCAAAGATATTTCAGGTGCCAGGGCTTTTCTAAGTTCTCCCTATTTAGATACTCGGATTTTGTAGGTAATTGCCAGTAGGTGGCCCTGACTGCTGCATAGTATCTGGCCTAAGTGCAGAGTATCTGTGTGGATGATTATTTGGCAACACCTAAAAATAGTTACTGTATTAATGCCAAGTGTAAGACAATTCCAATCTTAAATTATTAACATGTGTGTCATGTAAAAAAAAAAAAAGGTCAAAAAGATTGAAGTCTTAGCACGATAATCTAATGAGGGTATGATACTTTAAATACTTCTGAAATTAATTTGGGTTTTGATGCCTTCTTTGATGTATTACTATTTTCTTTGATAGTCTTAGAGTTGTCTGCATTTAACAATTAAAGAGTATAGGTCTGATCCATTTCAAAGATGCAGAAAGCTTACAGCTCTTTGGAACTTCTATGAGTGTTAATACTCCTACAAAATCAGGTCCAGGTTTTTAAAAAACACATAGCCCTAATTTAAGAAAGCTACCAAGCAAATGCATGTTAATGATACTGGTACACCAGATTCTTGAACACATGATGTTCATAAGTGGAATAGAAAAGTGACAATGCAGTGTTTTAATTCATAACATAGATTTTTTGGGGGTAAGAATTAAAAAGCTAGATACTATTTTAAAAAGCAACTATATGAAAGAAAATAGAATACCGTTTTCTGCAATATTATAGACAAATTATCAAAGATCATCTGCCCATTTGAAAAAAAAAGCCACCATTGACACTAATACAAGCAAGAATATTCTGTCTAAGAGAATGTATAATTTTAAGGAAGAAAACTCTTGTTTGTACTTTTACCTTGATGAAATTTTTGTTTCAGTTATGTTTCAATAATCAACATGGAAAAATAAAAATAAATTAAAATAAAAGTTTATTAAATAAAAACTGTTGTGCTTCAAACATAATTAAATCAAAAATTGAAACTACAACTAAGGAAAATTATTAAAAAACATTTTGGAAAATAAATTGCCAAGTTAAAGTATTTACAATTTTTGTAACCTTTATTATAGCTTATTGTATGTTCATCTTTTATAAACCATTGCTGACACATAGACTCAGACATTAACTTCTAATACTGGTTTATCCCCTATATTGATTTCCCTTTTAATAGAGAAAACAATAAAAACAATTTCGTGAATGCATTTTAATTGCAATACCTATTTATCCTTAGAAAGATAGGAACACTAGGCCAACTTTTCTGTAAATACAGATAAGAAAAAAATTAAATCTGTTTTCTTGGGAGATTATTCCTCATTGGAGAACAAATGTGGAAGGTTTAATCTCCAGATGAAATGCTCTTAGGAGGTCATTCACAATGTGTCTTACTCTTGTTATAAATCAGCATCTCTCTTCGAATGAAGACATAAGGATACCAGTGGACTTGGAACTTAATGTATTTTCAAAATGGAAAGGTTGCATAACTGTACTCCTGAACCAGGAAGGCAATATTGTAAATTTGAAAAAAATCAAATAGTTCCCACTTTATTAAAGGAAGCTGATGAACAATGTAATCATCAGTCTTTTTATATTTGGCACTTATTAAATAATTCACTGCTTGACTTTTTCAGTCAGCCCTCACACCCTCATTTCCATTGATACAGTGACTATCCATGCAAGATTTTCATTTTCAGTCTTTCTAAGCTGGTAAATGGGAGTTCTTTACATCAACTGGGGATAAATTCTTCTGCCTAAATTCTAGTCTGTGAGTGACTAGCAAGACATATAGGACTTTATATTCTTGACCAGGACCTTGCCTTGAATACATTCCGCCTAAGGAGTAGATTTGGTTTGAATAGAGACTCCCTATACTAAGACAAATAAACAAAAAACTTCTGTATTTCAGACTATGAAATAAGCAGCTTTGATACTTTAACTTAGAGCTAAAATGTGAAAGCAATGAGCTCACAGCAAAGCTATGTAAAATGCCAGTGAGGCAAAACCTGCATATTTTGCAGTTTCGCAAAGTAAATTATACATTTTAATTTTACATTTTAAATTTAAAAATATTATATGTAATGTACCAAAGCCCAAAGGTGAATTGGTGAATATCCTATGAAATTCCTATGAATGAAGACTATGACACTTCTGATATCTCCGTCCCCACTCCTGCCATCCCTTTAGAGTTACTGAAAGTTAAATCATCCACAGTGAGAAAATGGACTTGATGTTAAGTGGTCTTTGCTGGTTCAAGTGTTCCTGCAGTTTGCTAAAAACCTTCTAGTAGCTGCCATATTTACCTGTCAGTGACGAAAGAAGAATCTTTGAAAGAAAAACAAAAGGAATAATTAACAACAGGGATGATAACTCAGTGTTATCTGAAATTATATCAAAGAGAAAAAAACAAATATTTGTACCAAATAAAAAAAGAAAAAAGTTTTCAAATGTCTCATAAAGGCCCTGATTTGAAGGTGCTAAAAGGATTTAACCTAAACAGTTTATGTATGGTGATAGAAAAAAAAAAAATTATTCTGATCCATGAATGTTGCTATGCAATAATGGTGGATCCTCTTTGCACCCTTCCAGTTCTGGCAGCCTCTTCCTGTTGCTCCTTACCAGTCTGTTATTCAGCAGAATGGCCCAAAAACTGGAGGATCTCCATAATTTTATAATTTTTCCCCATAATGTCACTGTTTTATTCTCTATCTTTAGATGTTGTTTGTGATCCAAAAGTAGGTAGTAATTTCTGAAAAATAATATCATAGATGCAATTGCTTTGGAATCCAAATCAAAAATTGCCATTAAAATGCCTTAAATGTCTTAATAGATCACATCAGTAAAAGACAGATAAGAGTAACAAGATTGCCATGTGTCAACTCTTGCATATAATGGTGATTTGTTTTGTTAACATTATAGATTGCTAAGCAGAAATGTAAGCATAAAAGATTGCATATTTTTAATTATGGAGATAGCACAATAAGCAACATTCATGGCAGCTGTGACAAGCAATTTATGTATAATATATACCTCTATATGAATTTCATAACAAAGGATGGATTTGTTTCCCAATCAAATACATTTATGCAGAAGGCTGATATTACATCCTAAAAGAGAAAACAAACCATAAAATTAAAACTAATATAAAAGTATTTCTTAAATATATATGAAAGTAGAAATACTTGGACTCTGCATGAAAATGAAGTAATTGCCTTTTGTCTTTTCCAAGAAGCTATAGGTTCCAAGTTTATCAAGGAAATCTTAAAGAAAATGCATTTTGAAATAATGGTGAAAGACAGGAATATCTCTCTTCCTCCCCAGGTAAAAAAAATTCTCAGCTGGATGCTACTTTAGATGAGAAATTACAGAGAAAAGACTTCACATACCAATGGCTTCGTGCACAGCTTTTGGATTATGAAGAAGCCAGTTCCAGAAACACAAAGTGGTGAGGTCATCGCCTTTAAATTAGATTTTTTTTTTTAATTTGTCTTGTAAAGTGAAACCTAAGTTACTGGTTCTAAAGCAAACATGACTTTGCAGCTAGCAGACAGTACACCATATTTCTGGGTCCCAGATATGGCACCCTTTACAACTGGCTTAGTAGTCATTGTATAGATACTTCTTCCACATTAAAATTGAAATGATAAAATGTTTAGAATCTTATCATAAATATCATAAATCTTATCATAAATAACTAATTAGATTTACTTTAGCAATGCAGTGGGTTTTCGACTGAAGAGTGTACAAAAAAGTGCTTATTCATCATATATTTTATAATGTTATTGATATATATTATGGTTTTATGTAATTAAATCAACTGTAACATTAGCTACATTGTTAGATTTGATTAAGGAAGTAAAAAAAATACTTTTTTAACTAAAGAGTGTGTATTTATATTTTGTCTTCAAAACATAAACCCAGCATTTGCATCTTTATACTACACTGTACTAAGATGTTGTAAACATGTTCCTTCTATGTTCTGTTTTGGTTATTAAACAGGTAAAATATCAATACAATTAAGGGAAAGGTTCATATTGCCTAAACTAACATGAAGATATAGTAAGTGTATTTTGGTCATAAATTCAATATAAGACATTAGTTATCTTAATGAAGTCATTAGTAGACACAATGCCAAGCATCTCTAAAAAAACCAAACAAAGTGTCAGGAGGCAAGCAATGGGTTTAGGATATTAATTTTATCATTATTTTCATTAAAAATATATTTATAATTAAATGGGTTACAAATTGTTCTGTCTTGCGCAGAAAAATATGTCACATGTCCTGTTTGTATTAGTGATTGTAGAAACTATCTGAAAAATATGTTCCTTAAGAAATATTTATCTGGCTTTGCAGAAATACTTATCTTTTAGTCATGATCCATAAGAGAGAAATACTCAAAGTATTTGTTTAAGATAATTTCCATGGCTTTTAAATTGAATGAAAACACTGGAATACAACAGGCAATATTGTTTAAAAGTAAGAAGACACAGAAATTTATAAACAATTTTCTTAAATATTATTGTGCTACCTTGCAGGTGTATGCTATGCCCTGGTATTTGTACTGACTTTTTTAAGGATCATTATATAATTTTTTAATGTGCCAAAAGTCCAACTGATGTCCATTCAAACTTCATTGGTAGACAATTTAGAAGAGCTTGTGTATTTATTCAGCTGAAAACAATTTTATTCCTACAAAAAGTAATACGAAAACTGGCTTTTCTACAGTTTATGTCAACACATACAAAAAGTCATGCTGCTTAAAATAGTTTAACTTAATATTCTATTATTTGAATAAACAATTGTTAATTATTTTTAAAACAAGTACAAAAAAAATAAATAGTAATTGCTCTGATACTTTGTCAGTTAATATTAATTTCCCTGATACAACTTAATCATGGCATTATTTTAAATAATTAAGCAGGATTGTTTTCTGAAAAGGTTCTGTGCAGGTATTTTAGTGAGCCAGTACAGTGGAGTTACTGATATTTCTATTCTGCATTTTTCCCAGCTGTCGTTTTTTGCCTGAGTTAGATCCTGCAGTATGTGACAACAGACAAGTACAGCTTGTGGTAAGAACGTGTTTCTTTGTGGGATTTTGCAGAATTCAGGTTTTTCCAATCAATACCTGGTGTAAAATCAGGAGTATTTTTTGATTAATATAATTCAGTAGTGTTATCTCTGTTTGGCAATCAAGTCATCCCTGGTGGAGATGAGAAGAAAGTATTTTAGCACAAAATTCCATGTAAGTGCTTTGGGTTCTAGCTTCATGATCTGACACTGAGGGGTTTTTTTAAGACATCAAATGCTACTGTGTGTTTTTTAAAGCTTCTCTATCTGCATTAAAAAAAAAAAGTTTAAAAAATTAAATATGTATCAGTACCAAATACATGATTTACCAAAAATGTGTATTCTTGTAAATTAAACAACTTTAAATATTCTCAAGTTCTGTATATAGCATACCTAAATCATTTTAGTATGCTTTCAGTCTCATTTATTGAAATACAGTAAGTTGGAATTGTATATTAATATGTGGACATCATTGAAAACATTCTATTAAGTCAGACTTATTCCTACAATTTCTTTTTTATATTTTTTTAGATCTTAAAATGACCTCTGCTCTTTTAATGATTCACTCTTTTTGCAGCATTTTAAAAAACTGGATTTTCTGAAACAGGTAGTCATGTAAGTTGGCAGCAGGGGAACTATGAGCAATTTAACAATTTGAAGATTTACAAAATTGAAAGACTGCGTCAAAGATACCCAAAAGTTCCTTTAATAGCAAGCAGTTGTGATGCCTCCAGGCAAATGCATACTCACTCTATTTCTATATATATTTTAACTTTACATTTTAATGCCATGTTAGCAATATTCTTATTGATAAAATTTTGTGCATTGTAAAAATGGGTCAAAATTTTAGAAGCTAGACAGAATTAGTATTTCACGCTCATTTACATGATGTAAAATATTGCATAAAAATTATTTCCCAGTTAGATTATATGTCATATGCCTCATTTTGTTCTCTGAGCAATCTTGCCCCTATCTAGCCTCTTCCTTCTTTAGCTTCACAACCTATGCAATTTGCATGTTTTGGAAATGATTCCATAAACTCTCATAAAATTCACCTTTGAAAAAAATTATTTTAAGCCTTATGTCTTACTATTACTGTTTTCTTTAAGACAGATTTTGTCAAATATTTTTCTCTGGAAAATATGTGGCAATTTTCTATGGCAATTCTTCGGCTCTTCTGAAACTTAAAGGGCTGAAATCACGAACCACCCGACTGTTGTAGGGTTTGATAGGTGGAGTCTAAAGCAGTAATTTGAGCAAATCATAATTTAATAGTGTTATCTAAATTGCATATTATGTAATTATTGGTAAGCATATGTGCACATAGGTAGATGGTATGTTATTTACACTAAGCGGTTCTGTCCACAAAACACTGCTGCAATCCCACAATAGTATTATGTGGTGTGCCCACATAACTGCCAAAGTTATGGAATTGTCACAGCCTGTGCCACATAATAACATAGCTGTTCCACATGAATGAAATACAGAGAAAAATGCAATAGAAGATTCAAAAAATAGAAAATAGAATAAAATGTATCTCTAATGCAGAAAGCAATACTATACAGGCAGTGAAATAATGATGTGGTTTGTACACACAGAGGGCTGGAGAATTTTGGTTTTAAAATTTATATGAGTTCTCTCTTAAAGGTTGAAATGTGAACATGCTCCTACTGCTTTGGCACAGTAGCATACTTAAAAGCTATGAAATCATGATAAAAATCAAGTTAACAGCTGCAATCATTATTTAAAAAAACATTATTGTAAACTGAAAGAAAGTGGAAAATATATATTAAAAGCAAAGAGAGAGAGAGAGAGAGAGAGAGAGGAAGCATTAGAAGTGGAAAGCATTCCTGGACATTTCCAGTAGTTTATTCGTATGCCATATGATCGATCATGAATCTTTCTGATGTGCTTTTAAAATCCCTGCTTTTTATGTGTTCCATAAGCCTGCATTCTGGAAGTTTCATATAGTTTTCTAAATGATATTTGTGGACATTCCGGTAACTTAAGACTTTCTTCTTCATGGATACAAAGTTGCATTTCAGTGCTTGCATATAAACAAGAAAGTCTTCTCATTGGAGATTATTGCTTTGTAGTAACCTGCAGTAAATCTAAGACCTTATTATGTTAATCTTGGTAATTTTGATGATTTTTCTCATTAGTAATACCATTGAAGCGCTTAGGAAGACATGCTGACTTACAGTTTAAATTATTTTAAATTAATATGATTTTGTGGAATAGCCAGTAGGATAGACTTCCTGATTCTTCTTTTGTATGAAGTTTAAGTTACCTACGGGATTAACCCCTTCACTGTTGATCAGTATCTCCAATCATTTATATGTAACTTGTATTCAAAAGCACCTTTTATCTCTGAAGGTGACAGAACATCTTGATAATTTTACCTAGAAATAGAAAAATATACAGATGCAAAGCTGTGTTCAAGGCAAAGATTCCTCCTGACTGATATTAATTTTCAATTAATTAATAAGAAAGGTTTGTGGTAGTAAAAAAATGGCAGAAAGTCTGAAGAGTGTCTGGACTATGGTGATCACTACAGATGGAAGTCTAATACTACTGTCTGCAAAAAACTGTGCCAGTATCTTAAATTTCTTCCAAATTCTGATTCTAAATCATAAATGTGAAAGGGAAGACTTTAATTAGCTTCAGAGGACTTTCACTCAGCTTCTTTAAAAAGCCAAAATTAAGTTTGCTCCAGTGATTAATACAGCCTTAACTATTAGTCTGTCTGTAATTGGGTTAAAACACTTACCTTTATTCAAAATAAAATAACAAATATTTTACATCAGAGATCAAGATAGTCCTAGTAAAATCTAGCATATAATCCTGAATATTATTGTCTACAAGATGATGAAGCCTTAGTTTCTGTGATGGTAGGGATTGGATAATAATACCATGGAAACTAGCTGTCTAAAATGTAGCCTTGTGGCCACAAATCTTTGGGAATTGGGACATTAAAAAGCCTTTTGTTGTGTGTTGAAACAGGTTAGATGGAAATAAGAATGATCACTTCCATTGGTTTGAATCTCTTTGAGCGTCACAATCATTGCATTACTTCTACTAATGAAAGACTAAAAGCTTTCAGTTTAAAGATTTTGAACATAGGAAACTCTGCAATCTTAAAACAACCGTAAATATTAAGGTCAATAAAATAGAAACAATTGGCAGGATAAAACTTTTTTTTTTCAAAGTTTGTTGGCACTGCTATGGAAGAGAAAATAAAATATTGATGTTAACAGCAATAGTAAAGACTAGCTTTGCAAAGCAAAACTTTAAATTCCTCGTCATTAAACATATAAAAGGTAAGCATCCAAAAACAAGGGATAAACTTTCTGTGCGGACACAAAGGGAATGTAATCACTAAGGAAGAGTGTAAAATCTCTGTATCTTTGGAGGTTTTGGTTTGAAAATGCATGGACTTTTTAATGAATTTTACATTAAACAGTGACTGAGTAAAGACAAGGAAATGAAACAGGTCTCCATTTCATCTGAGTTCTCTAAGTTAGACTGGACTACAAAGCCTGTTTGCATTGGTGCAGTGCTGCTTTTGGTACAGTGAGGTAGTTTGAACAGGAAGTCTGGAAATCGTCTCCTCCAGAATGGCCTGCAACTTCATAGTAACAGCACTTTCCTGAGAAAAAGGGAACTGTGGGCTTTAGCCCCCTGAGGAAGGAGTTGAGACCCAGTCTCTCGATACCTGGTTGAGCAGTCTTGCCACTACAGTGCTGGGCAAAAGTTTCATGACACTACCACTAGCAGAGTCTTTTCCTTTCCTGTAGTTTGTTCTGTAGTTTGTTTTTAAAAAAGAAATACCCAGTTAGACACCTAGTTCTGAAAGACACCTAGCTCTTCAGCCCAGAGAGAGGAAAGACTGAATCTGCTTTTCTGGACTTCACTTCTGAAGGTTCAAAGTCTAGAGAAGTAAATCTTTGTGTTCAGTACTTCCAGCCGACTGACTCAGGAACGCTGGGAATTTTGTAGACTGTTCATCAGCAGTGTCTGATTTTTCCCCATCATTGTTACTGGCCCTCAGTATCTTGTTATTGTTAGGGGCTGCTTTTATTTCTGAATAGCTTTTCGTTTCATTCTTCAGTAAATGTGAACTTGTTTCTGCAAAAATAACAATCTGCAATTTGCAATGGGAGGTATCTTCCAGGTCGGTTTTTAAACTTTGCCCTACCTGTTCCCAAAACAGCAATGCTAAAATGAAACAAGATTTTCATTTTTCTTTTGTCATATTTGTGTGCAGGTAACATGCCTCATGTCAAAACATACCACCACTGGATGTCAGAAGTTTATAATTAATATAATACTCTTGCCTAATGTATAATTAAAATGCTGTCTGATGGTTATGGTTAATTAGCAAAAACCTTAAAGATTAAATTACTCACTGGGCCCATGACTGATTGAAGTGATACGTGTCCTGGATAAAGCATAAATATTGCAGGAAATAATCCGATATGACATCTCTGACATTCAACTATAACTTAAATTATAGACTGGTCAGTAAATGATCTTAAGCTGTTTAAGGTTTCATCAGCCCTCTGCAAGATTGATTTTCTTCAAAATTACTGTACTAAAATGTTTTCTTTTGTTGTTGCATTGACTCAGATCACAAACCACAATTTTAAGATCGGCTCTTATTTACAAAAATGCTTTGACATAGTGCATTTGTTCAGCCTAGGCAACAAAAAAGGATTGTGGTATCATTTTGAAGAAGGTTGTTTGACAGACCCTGTTTGTTTATTTGGAGTAACGTGAGCTACATTCAGAAAATGTTATATTTTGTTTCATGATTGTGTACATTCTCTCCCACTGCTTCCAGGCAAGCCCTGTAAGCAGAGAAGACATGGATTTAGACCTTGTTTCCATGGCCAGTGGAAGTGCTTTGACTGAGAACAGAGAAAAAAATAAGCCGCCACACAGACACTCAGCAAGATCCTCAAGTAAGTTATGGTTCTTTTCAATATCAGTATTAAAGATCACTTTAAAATGCTAGGTAGAACTGAGCATGCTTGGAATCCTTAATAACACATGCTTATCTTTCTGTCTCTTTTTTATCTAAAGCCTTTTCAAACATTTACTGCAGTTCAGTTTAAAAACTCTAATGTCAATAGACTTTCCTCTTGTGATTTTAATGGGAAGTTCCCTGTGATGTATTAAAAGTCTTCTCATGAGTCCTGAGAAGATTTTCTTTTTCCTTAAGTATGGGAAAGATTTGTTTTTAATCTTCCTCTTATTTTATTTCCAAAGAGCTTTGAAAAATGCATGTTTTGTTACCTGAGTACCAGAACACATACACATAATCAACATGATTTCTGTCATGTTGATTACCAGTCATGCTGTAGTTTATGACCCCACTGAACTTATTATAGCTCAGTATTAGAGAATCCTTTTAAACCCTTTTATCTTTACCACTCTAATACCATGGAAGGCAACAAAAGAATCTATATATAGAAAAAAAAAATTCTTGAATGTCATAAAATTATAGAATTTTAAGTTTCATGTTTTATTTTGCGTAATGTAACTGAAGAAATGTTAATATATTTCTGATAATATGACATACTCTATTTTTATATTTGTGTACAATGTTTTTTTCAAATAAATAAAGATATAAACCCTCCAAAAGCACATTATGGAAAATTTAAGCTGTATTAAATAACTTTGGCAAAATTATCAATCCTAAAACTTTTTAAATAGCGAAGTTTCTTGAAATGTTGTCAAAATAGTAATCAGGTATTTAATATAATTTATATATATATAAATTAGTGTATTTACTTTTTTGATTATGTTTTCATATATGCTGAATTTCCACTTTCAATAAAAAAATTAAAATTAAAAAAAAACATTTAAAAATACTTGAAATCTCTATTTTTCTGACATACTTTGTAAAGGCTTTAGAATGAAGATTTATTTACATTACTTCACCGCAAGCAAAAAATATAGTGACTGAATATGTTTGTGCTTATTCATTTGTTTTACATTCCTAAAATTAGATTACATAAAATTTATCATCATAGTGTAAGTTAATGAAAGTACCAATGAAAAAGAACCTAATTCTGTCTTTTTGCCTGCCATCTTAGAAAAGAATGAATTGTGTCCTTAGTTTTCTTGTTTCTCTCCATTGGCTAGTGATGAAGCCACACCATTTAAATTAGACGAGATTTCTAGCTGCTAAGTTCCTGAATTTAGGTGAGGTAACTCTAAACTACTGATGTCAATGACAAAATTATCGTTGTATTCATATATTCAGAATAAAATGTGTCCGTATCTTGAATAATTGAGTTAAAGTGTATAAACTGCATTCATATTTGTGTATGGCTGTTGTTTAGACTGTAACCTATATTGTAACTCCATCCAAAAGTAAATTAATGTGAATTCTTTCAACATGTAAAACTTGCCTGTGTGGATCTTGGGAACAGGTTTTTCTTTGGAAAATAAAAAAGTGCCATTGATAATACCTTCAAGAAGGAGAGATTAGGAAAGGAGCAGGGAAGAACAACCAACTGGCAGAGTCATAAATGTGAGGGAGCGGGGGTGGAGAGACAGAGAGTTTACAATATCTGCTAATATAGGTATACTTTCAAAAAATGCATCTTCTACACCATACCTACGTATTCAGTAGTCCAGGAACTAAGGAAAAAAAAGCCCAGGTCTTATGTCTTTTTAAATATGTTTCTGCTTACGTGTCTTTATAAATATTATCACCATGGATTTAAGAAATTAAACAGCGATGATACATTCAATTGTGTCACTTATGATATATGAAAGCAAACATTACTATCACCTTTTTACATTTCATATGCAGTATAGAAACATGTTTATTACATTATTTCTCTTAAGACTTGCTTTTCAGTGATCAGAATAAATCATTAGGCCCATGATATCCTCAACCTGAAAACGTTATAAATTTGGCTTTGCTGAGAATGTGCTTGTTACAGAATGCTTTCTTGTTCTATAGTCTCTCTTGGTTTTGCCTTCTGAAATATTAAATGAAGATGCCTAGGAACTGTTTCGGTGATTTAGTAGGTGTGTTCCCTGTGAGTAAACCTGCAGTTGTATTATATTACTATAATGATTCTGTGACCTTAGAGGTGCTGTCACTTCAATAAATTCTTAAATCAAGTTCTTGTACCATTTTTCCAGAAGATCTCAACCTCAATGATTTGACAAGCTTTATTAATAAAATGTTACTGAGTTCACTTTCCAACATCCATAGTTGTGCCTGTTCCTCAGAATTCAATTATTGTTAGGAATCAAGACCTCTTATTTGAGAGTATCATGCATGTTCCTTATATAGAACTTGTAATTTAGAAATTGTATGAATAAATTTTTGAGATCTTACGGGCTGAAAAGTAAAGTCTAGAAATACAAAATAATGGTTTCTTAAATATATTTACTAAAAAATCCTGCTCAAATTCATAGCTTTTATATATGTAGGGAAATGTATGAATTATCATGTCTTTGTTACGGCAAAGCATACTACACTTCAAAGTTATTATCTTTTTATTAACAGGGGATTTTAGAAAGGCTACATCGAGATTTTAAGAAATATTTTGTGACCTTCCCAACTTTTATGTTCTTTCTATAGATTTTTTTTCCAAAGGCAGGTTCTTTGAATTCTGAATTAAACTATTATAAGTTTTTTAAAAGCCAAATTTCCTATTTTTTGTGAAACATTTGGATGGGATAGATTAATCCTAAACTAATTTAATTCTGTTCCTTGACAAAGCTAAATTAATTAAGTAATAAAAGGAATGCTTTTAACATAGTATATCTCAGTTTAAGGAAAGCATTTGTTTACTTAAAAGTATTTGATTTGCTTCCCTGTTACATGTTTAAAGGGAAAACTAACCGTTCATTAAATTGACCAAATGTTTTAAAAAATTTATAACCTAAAGAAAGAATAGCCATTGTTCAGCTGGAGTAAATAGTTATCTGTCTAATTTAGGACTTTGCTTCTGTTAATGTCCAGTATGTTATGATCTTAGAACGTACTTATATTATGTTCTAGAAGGAATATAATATTCCTTCAGAGTTATTGCTTTATGCTCCCTAGTAACTATTTTTTCTTTTCTATTTCTTGAGGTTATTTTTTGTGGTGGGGCTGGTTGGAGGGCAGGGAGTCTGACCATTCTTTATAATTTTAATTAACTCCATAAATATTGGTGTAAATTTCTGGTTGTATTTTTCATCTTAATTCTTTCCTGAACACTAGTACTGTAGTCAGCATTAAGTTGCAAGATGGGCATAGAAATATTTTGTAGGAGTTAGAGGACAAGCATTTTTTGTACCTAGCTAGAAAGTATGGTTTTTGGCATATCCTAATAGCCAATTTGTGACTAGGCTATGATGATCAGCTACCTTCTGTCATCCTAATCTGTTTATTACCAACCATTATTGGACATGCAGATGAGTCTACCAAATATTTTACATTGCCTAACATGTCATAGTACATGGTTACATGATGTACATAGTCATCACAATTTTGTGGGGATTTTTTCTCTGCAAGTTTAAACTTAATTTTCTTTATATTTGCCTTGGGAACTGCAATCTCCTGACCAAAATTTGAAAGTGAAATGCAATGGGATCTGTGCCTCTAACTTTTATTTGAAATACTGCCCAGAATTCTTAATTCTTGTCTTCCCTGAATTTGAGCTTTTCAGGAAGTCTCTGATATCAGTAAAACTGCTTTCAAGGAAAACAAATTAAATAAATTAAAACCTGAACCTTGTTATTCCTTCATTAGCCTTAATTCAAAAAATGGACCCATGTATATCTCCACTAAAAAACATTTGTCAGTTCTAGTTTTCCAATAAATTCACACTTTATATTCTGCTAATCAGTGAAAATAAATTAATGAAGTTTAATTGTTTCTTACAGTGAAACATCTTCCAACTCAGAAAAAAACACAGTAGCTTTTATTTCACTTCCTTTTTAAATCTTACTCAATTCTTTTTGCTCTTGACAGAACCCCCACCTTGATTTTTTTTCCCTCCCTTTCTTTCATGAGAGTTGTTAAAAACCCTTCAACTTTGTTATAAGCAGTGTATGGTACAGCTTCATGTTAAAAAATTCCTGCTTTCCTGTTCCTTTCTTCTTAGTCATCACTATTGTCTAAATATTCTAGTTCAAGGACTGCTGTCTTTCATTTAGGATTTGTAAACTCGGTGTAATAAGCATCTTGTTTTTAAGCACTCTATGAATTTCCTCGTATTTTACCAAGGGGTTTCTTGTGCATATTTCTTTCATACATATGTATTTTTCTCTGTATTGGTTGACTATCATCAAACAATATATATCTAATCTTTTTCAACAGACTACAGAATGACATCCTAAAAGATATTGCTGAATTGACTTTGAGGTTGCATATTAAAAATTATCTAAATGCAGATTTTAAAGGCATATAGAGCTTGCTTTTGTTGAATTTAACAGGCTAGGGAGAAAAAATTATACAAGATCTCATGTAATTTCATCATCTGTGCGTCCAATTATAAAAATAATTCAAGAACAGATACACAGAGGCATATTCTAAATTTTAAGTGCTTCATTTTACCAGCCTCATACTCTTCTACTAGGGTTTGGGAGTTCTTCAGTGTGGATTTTTTTGAAGAGAAACTAGCTTAAATAAAAAAGTCCATTTTGAGACATTGGCTTACAGTTCGCTTAGATATCCACTTAGAGCTATGGAACCATTAGATCAACAATAAGGATTTCTGTCCTATGATTTGAGTAAATAATAACAGTGTTATGTTTCCTTTGCTGTGGGATGTTCGTTAAGTAGATTCAAAAATATTTCTCAAGTCATTTCACAGAAAGGCCCAATAACTTATGTTTGGCTACTTCACAAGATTTTTGCACTGGATGGTAAAGATTTGTCTATAAGATCTTCTTTCCCAAAGCACTCTTTCTTTCCTTGCTTTTTCCTTCTAATTTGTCTCTTTTT